CGATTGCCTCAATACTTGCCAATTCTGCTTATTTATTTATTTACTTACTTACTTACTTACTTATAGAGAGAGGGGAAGAGAAAGAGAAAGAGAGGGAGAGAAACATCAATGTGTGGATGCCTCTCACATGCCCCCAACTGGAGGCCTGTCCCACAACCCAGGCATGTGCCCTGACTGGGAATCAAACCAGTGACTCTTTGGTTCACAGGCCGACACTCAATCCACTGAGCCATGCCAGTCAGGAATATACTTTCCAATTCTAAATTGTACCAAGTTTTCCTTCATCTGCTCAGGCTCTTTCTGCATCCTGTAATACCTTTCTATTCTTTACATGCCTACTAAAATCTTTTTTCATCAAGACCAAAATCAAATGCCACTTCCTCTGTGAAACTTTTGTTGATTCACCTACTTGAAATGATTTTTTTATTTCTACAATATATGTTTTTTTTCTGCATCTTTTTAATATTGGTTTTCACAGGCTCAACTCATTGCCCTTTTTCTCACTTGTATCCACAACACAACCTTCAAGTTGATGGTGCTATCAAATATTATAGAATGGTAAGGAAAATGACAGAATTGCAATGTGCAAGGGAATGGTTTTATATTTATGCACTAAATATAACCATTTCCCTGCCAACTCCAAGGCAAAAGTACCCAAGAAACCGTGTTATGATGGCAACACAATATATGTTTTAACATAGTATTTTACACTTTTCTGTTACCTCCCTTTTGTTGTTTGAATGTGTCTGCTTCCATCACCACATTGTTAGCACCTTTAAAGCATGACCTGCATCTTCTTCAGCTTTATCACCTACTCTCTCAATCTACTCAGGTTGCTATAATAAAACATTTTAAACTGTGTGGCTTAAATAACAAACATTTATTTCTCATTATTCTAGAGACTGAGAAGCGTAAGTTCATGATGCCAACATATTTGGTTCCTGGAAAGAGTCTACTTCCTGGCTTGCAGACACTTACCTTCTCACTGTATCCTCGCATGCCAGAGAGATAGGATGCTCTGAGGTCTTTTCTTTTTTTTTCTACCAGTCATTTTTATTAGGTGTTAATTACAATATGAAAGGATTACAATATGAAAGGTGCTGTGCAAAGATAATGGTGAGGAATGGTCCACAGTGGGCCCTCTTCAGTGGTACTTGCATTGCCGCTTATGTTTGAGTTCCTTATAAGAATAGCAGTGGTTAAAAAGCATGTAAGCTGCCAGGATCATAGAAACTTGAGCAGCATTCCCTTTCTTCACATTGACATACTTGTAATACCAGTAGTAACCTCTTTAAAATGCTCTACCAATGTCTTTAGGGGTGAAATCCTACATCATTATCCAGCTTGGCAGGTCCCCTAGTTTGACATTCATGAGTCTCTTCTCCTTCAGTGGTATGACTGATGCCATCTTGGAGTCCTTCTTTTCCTTTTTTATAAAGGCACTAATGCCATCATGGGGGCTCTACCCTCATGACCTAACTTAAACCTAATTACCTCCTAAAGGCTCTACCTCCTATTACCATTACATTGAGAGTCTGGGATTCAACATATGAATTTGTGGAGCACACACTCTTACCATAATGCTTACACATTTATGCCTACTCCCTTTACTATTTAGTACAGCCTTGAGTATATAGTAGATTTGGAGACATAAAAATCAACCTTTCAGATATCCAGCTGCTTTCAGATCTTTGTCTATGGTTGACCAGCAGTCTTTGCTACTATACTGTGATCACCTTACATGGAAGGTCTCCTTTTGTCCAGGCTTCTCTCAGTGATGAAGGTAAGCAGAAATACTAAGGAACACCAGCATGTGGGAGAGTTGAGACTCTTCTGATGATTGATATTGTCTCCAGAACTCCCATTTGCCTTGGAGAACTCTCTCTTTTTTTTAAGATTTTAGTTATTTATTTTTAGAGATGGAAGGGAGGGAGAAAGAGAGAGAGAGAGAAACATCAATGTGTAGTTGCTGGGGGTCATGGCCTGCAACCCAGGCATGTACCCTGACTGGGAATCGAACCTGCAACACTTTGGTTCACAGCCCACGCTCAATCCACTGAGCTACACCAGCCAGGGCGGAGAACTCTCTTATGACTGCTCTGTAGTCTAAAATACATCCATGCAACAATCCTTTCTTCAGTCTCTTCTTTACAAGGTTTAGATCTGTATTGCTGTCTGATGGTTCTTCTGACCTCCTCTCTCCATTCTCCCTCACAAACAACACCCCTGAAAATTCTCTTGCATGAGTAATTCCTTCTTTGTGTCTGCCTTTCAAAACACTTTGAGTAACACAATAGGTTTGCATGAATCAATGAATGAAGGAATGATGTACCCTTTCTTCTGTCTCCCAGATGTCTTGGTGCTACTTTCTGATATTTTAAATTCTTTATATAATCATCAACTTGGGCCTTCCTTACTTTTCAGTGCACTCTTATGTATTGACCTGGGAGCTCTAGCATTATCAACTTTTTACTAGTAGCAAACCCCATATATATGTCTAGGTCTAGTGACTAGTGACTTGCTCATTCTTGTACTTATTTTTAAACACGTTGTTGAGGAAATCATATTACTTTGAAACAATAAGTGACATTATCAAAAATTATAACATTGTTTTATGTCTCTATAAAATTTATCTCAAGGCATTTATTATCTGTCCTGACTTTGTGCTTGTTTTCAGCTACACTTTTTGGAGCTTAAAAGACATAAACATATCAGAAGAAGAGCAACATAGTTGCTGGGGCACTGAGCCCATCACTATATTTCTATTATTGTCAATTGAACACTGGAAGTATGGCCATCAGAACAGAAAGAGGTTTCCAGGCAATGTCTAGATGTAGTTTCACATCTCAAATATGGAAGAAAGAGGGAGAACATTAACTAATAAACATAGAAATGTTATTAATATTAAATTCCAATCTTTCAGCAGCAAGACAGACAAGATCAACTCTTACCTTCTAAATTCCACTAATCTGAACCTATGTCCTTCCCTCTCTCTCTCTCTCTCTCTCTCTCTCTCTCTCTCTGTTTCTTTCTTGACTTCAAAAGTAGAATAGTGTATTAATCAAAATCCTCAGGACATGGAATTCTTTCATTATTGATCTGTGCAAGTTTCCTGTCTTGTCATTCTATCATTTTGTCATGATTCCTGCCCCATATTCACTGGACATGTATGTGTACTTGCGAAACTATATGATGTATACCATAGTGGGTAAGAGTGAAGATTTGGAATCAGATTGTACTTCAATTTAAATCTAAGCTCTCCTTTTAAACAGCTATGTAAGATGGCAAAAACTGCTTAACACTCTTGATGTTCATTTTCTTAGTTTGATTGTGAGGATTTGATGACTTAATACAGGTGATACCCTTGGAAAAGTATCAGGCACGTAGTAATCCCTCAATAAATGTTTTCTATTCCTTTGCATAAGCATGCATTTTTAAATTTCATGAATAATAATAGTTCAATAGAAGTTATTGTATTCCTTTTTTCTACTTAACACTGCATTTGTAAAATTTAACCATGATGTGGTATGCCCATCTAATTTATTAGTTTGACCACTTTAGAGTATGTCATAATATTCTTCCATTATTGATTATATTTGTAATAGACACCTAAGTTGCTACTAATTCTTAGATACCACAAATAATAACATTTCTTTTTTGAAATATGTCCTGGTATTTTTTCTGTATTTAGAAAGATTTAATGATTTATATTAAACAAAAAGAAAAGCAAAGAAAGCAATATAAAAATGAACAATAATAGCTTACATTTATATATTACTTTGTAGTATTTCACAGTACTTTCACAAGCCCTTATATCTTAATTATATTCTTTTTTATTTTTTATTATTGTTCAAATAAAATTTTCTCTATTTTTACCCCACCATGCCCCCCCATCCCTGCCTCCCACCTTTGAAACTACCCCCTTTGGCTTTGTCTGTGTATCCTTTATACACTTTCTTTATACACATTGTGTATATTCATTTTCCCTTTTCCTATCCTGAGAGATGTTTTTCTTTCTCATCAGTTTGGTTCACCCATTTTAAAGTCATTAACAATACACAGATGTGGCTTTGTATAGATAGAAGGAAAAGGGGGCTCTAATATATCCTTTGGGATCACATTGTGCAGCAGGTAAGAGACACCTAATAGCAGCTCATTTTTTCACATAATATATTATAAAGCCTGTAGGTAGATGACTTTATCCTTTGTAATGACACTGTGGTAAAATGCTTTGTCTACTCTTAATAATGCTTATACCAGCTTTCTTTATATTGAATTATTTCACATTTGATACATACATACACACTTGTACACACAGATATATTTGGTGTGTGTGCATACATGTATGTGTACTTGAATATATTCTTTTTTACTGTTAATGTTATATTTTTAGTGTGTATTTTATGAACAGTATATAGTTATTTTTTAATGCAACTTGAAATGATTTTTCTTTTACCTTGGAATGTTATCCTAGCCTTTATTTTAATTGATGACTTATTAGAATTATTTTCATGATCATAACTTATGCTTTCTATTTGAGTTTTTAAATGATTTTTATTATTTCTTTTTTTGATGGCTTGAGAATTTTTTTGAATTTCGTTTTTAATTTACTGTTGCAAATTATGGAAGCTACACAGACTACTTGTATGCTTTTAACAATTGCCCTTAACATCTTTTTTTTCCAAGGCTTCACTTTAATAAACAGTGTTTTGTTTTGTTTTGTTTTGTTTTGTTTGGACAAAAAAAACATGAAGTGTGTTTTTTATCTTCTCTCTTATAATCTGCTTTTAACTTTTTAATTTTCTAGTGGGGACCCACACAGCTGAAAAAGATAAAGGCACAGCAGGTAGATTTATAAGAGATCAAGCTTGTTCTAATATGTGCAAGTTGCCATTTTCATTCAAGTGTATCAATGGGGAGACTTCTAACTGGGGCACCAGATTCAACCATCACCTTTAAAACAGTAGAAACAAACAGCTGTTATGCTGAGTCCGTCTGCTCTAAGAGCTTTGTGTATGCAGTTGGGCTCTGTCTCCACAGGATGCAGGTACCAACTGAACCATCTGCAGCCACCTGCAGTCCATCTCATTTCTGACTAAGTTTCTCATGTAGGTGAGCAAGTTCTGGTTAATAAAATTCACTGTTGTGTGGAAGACCTTGCACAGCAAGGATGGAGTGTGATTGGCCACCTTTCTGGCCAGCAGTATGGTCACCAGCAGCATTGTCTCCTCCTCCTCCATGTCTCTAGAGCAGGCCTGCAAGACCTGGTCCACTGTAATGCCCAGGCATTCCCTCTGGTCTTCCTCTGACAGGCTTCCATCCCTAAATTTCATCACCAGGCGGTCCACCACACTCGGGGGAGACCCTGTGGTCCATCATGTCCCCAGTCTGGGTGAGCTGCTGGACGATGTTCCGGATGATGTCTCCTTGAATCGCAGAACCTCTATTTTGGCCCTCTGAGACAAAGTGGCTGCACCAGCTGCCATCTCTCTGAAGCTTTTCCTCACAGTCCTCCTGGGGGCCAGTGGGCATGGGCAGGGCACGACCCACCCCTTCAACTCCTCCTGGAAGTTGTCGTTGGGGCCATGCTGGAGGAAGCTGAACACCAGCAGGTCTGTGAGGCACTCACCCCAGAGGCTGGAACCATTGCAGACCTGAGGATTCATGGTGGCTGGTGGTGCAAGTGGAGTCCAGACACAGGTGTCTGGGGCAGCAGCCCCCAGCAGTTGTTGGAGACACAGAGGCAGCCTGCCCTTACTATCTTAATATTTCATTCTAAAGTTGATCAACATTACTACTTTATTCTGAACAAAAGAAAGGGCCTTTAGAATGCAAAATTACAAGCTTTCTTTCTAGCGTTTTTGTTTTATTTTATTTTCTGTTGCTTAATGTTTCCATTTCATTATTTTCTTTTTAATTTTATTGTTGTTCTATTACAGTTCTCCCAATTTTTCCCCCATTGCTCTTTCCTGTCCTACTCTGCCTCCCTCCCACTGTCAGTCACCACCCTGTTAGCTTTGTCCATGAGTTCTTTATAAATGTTCTTTGACTAGACCCTTCCCTTTCGTACTCTTTGTTTTCTCAAACTTTAATTCTATGTGTTAATTCCTCAAATTAAACATTATTATTATTGTTATTTTAAGCAGTCAGTGTTGGTTGAAATTTACCTATACACTTAATAATTTCTTTGCTTAATGTTTTCCACTTCAATTTCTCATTTTCTGATTTCCAGTGGAAATACCAAATATTATTTTGCTGGTTTAGAAACTATAAATTCTCTTTTAAAGTTTTAGTGTTTACTTCTAACTTATTAATATGCATGTTTTATTCCACTATGTTTCTTGACCTTATCAATAGTTGTACCTTCCTGTCACCTTGTCATGCTCTCACCTTCCTCTAAGCCCAACATCTAAGAAAAATGTCATAAACATGATAGGGGATCAGAATTTGTTTAAATCATGTTTAAAATGTAGAAATAATATTCTTGTAATATCTCTAATAGTGTCTGAATAAGTTTTTGGCAAATTTACTCAGAAGAGCTCTAAACGAGACAGCAAAATAAAAAGGGACAATTTGCTAAATACTTAACAATTCTAGTATCCTTGCATCCAAACACATGTACCTTGCTGATCCTGACTTCCCAAGTCATCCACTATATCCTGTTCTCAATAACCCTATCCACATGGTACAATTGTCAGCATTGTGACTGTACTGAATTGAATACCAAATGATCTAAGAAGACAAAAGAGGCAAGTACATTATGATTACAGACATAAGCACAGTCTAACATGGCAGGGAGGAGAAAAACCTACTAGGAAATGTAATCAGTGTGATTTGCTCATGTAATAAAATCCAGATGAATGATTCTTAGAAAACTTCTTAAAAGACTAGATTAAACAGTGTCAGTAAAGAATATGGAAGTTCCTTATGAGATAATCTCAATCAGAAGTGAAAGGAAATGTGGAAAGTTTGCCTGTAAAATGCTCAGGAATTTATTGACATCCAATGATATTAGTATTCCTCCTCTCCCTCTATCTCTATTTCTCCCTCTCCCTTTCCAGCTTTCACCTTTTCTCTCTCTTTGCTTCTCTTTTATTTTGTTTCATATGTTAATTTTCTTCATCATAACAAATAATAAAATATTAGCTTTATAGCTTCTTCAGTTGTGTTACCAACCATGTTAACAAAAAACTTCACATAGGCAGTATAAGTAAATTGTCAAAATAATCCTAGGAAGAAAATGTCACTATCATCATAAATCCTAATTTGCATATGTGGAGATTCAAGCTTAGAAAGGCTGAGTAATAACCAAACCCAGCTATATTCAACTGCAAAGTCCTTTATCTCAGTGCTGCGATATGTACTACTGATCTCTGAATAATTCTTCCACAATAGGCTATTTTGTCATGCAGGCAGGATTTTAAAAACCAACAGGCAGTAGACATTTTTAATGTTAGCATGTCAACTACATTTTCTATTTAAGGTTTGTAAGATTTTCTAGAAACAACCTTATTATTTTAGGTATTTTTTTACATTTATTTTTAGAGAGGGGAAGGGAAGGAGAAAGACAGGGAGAGAAACATCAATGTGTGGTTGCCTGTTACACACCCCTTACTGGGGACCTGGCCCGCAACCTAGGCATGTGCCCTGACTGGGAATTGAACCTGCAACCATTTGCTTCGTAGCCCACTCTCAATCCACCAAGCCACACCAGCCAGGGCTATTTTAGGTATCTTACACCCAGTTGTTTGAAAGATAATGAGGAAGGTAATTTCAGCAAAAGCATATATGTAAACCAATTTTTCTATTATGTATATATCAACTACAACAAAATTATTCATCGTGCCATTTATAGTCTGAGTTAGATGCGAAGTCCAGTTTGGGTGCCATGATCATTATGCTACTTGGAAATAGTATTTTAGATTATTTTGCCACATATTTCAGTGTCGTTTTCCATAGAAGGGCATAATTTCACCAAAAAAAAATGAAGCCATAAGCACACACTGATTATAAGACATTCTCAGTCAGGTTTGGCTTGCTTTTATATTGGCACTTCCAGTATTTCATGATGTAAAAAAAATTCTGTTGTTGGAAACTATTCTAGAACTTTTCTTCTCCCCTACTTACTACATCAAGTCCAGTAGCTTTTACTTTCTAAATATGTCTCCAATTCCTCCTCTCTTCTACATCCTGACTGCTATCCTTCCTTGCTTGGCCTCACTGACACTCTCCTGGACTACCAAAATCTGTCTAAATGTTCTCCTGGTTTCCAATATTTCATCCCTTCAGCTGATATCCACACCCTAACCTGAATACATTTTGAAAACCAAAGCTGATCTAATCTGTCTTCTGCTTGAAAGCCATCTAGTTTGCATAACAAATTTACAGAAAATATACCCAAATTTCTGAGAATGGCATACAAGTCTCTTGAAATCTGTCCCAGAAAGTTCATCCATTTCATTTCTTCCTTGTACAAACTATATGGGATGTCATTTTCAATTTTTCTTCGGGAGTTTAAGCATCTTCTTTTTGAAGTATTCTTTTATATCCCCTGGTTGAATTGACCACTTGCTATATTGTGTCTCTCTTATAAATTATTGTAAATTATTATACTAAATGCTATACTGAATATCATTTACTTGATTAAGTTGTCAGTGAACTGTAAGCTCCAGTGTATCTCCTGTCGATTGTATTGCCAGTGGACTGTGAGCTCCTTGAAGGCAAAGTGCATCTTATTAGCCTATTTGCCTAACATACACAGAACCTTGTATATTAGTTAACCATTTGTAATGCTTATTGAATTTAAATGTGAAGGTAGTATAACACAGAAAATAGAATAGAATGTGAGCCGACCCTAGTGAACCCAATAAAATCATCCCCAGAAACAACTTAAACTCTCATATCTTTTCTGTTTTCTTCTTTATCATCAGTGCCACTTTTGTAATTTAAATTCTCATTATCTCTCACTTGAGTTATTGAAACCATCTTGATACTGGCCTCTTCCATCTAAATCCCTCCCATCCAAACACTTACCCACAGTATTAGAGTGATTACACCAAAACAATGCCAATTACATCAGTTTTCAGCTTTCACACACTTAGCTTATGCTAGTCTTTGGATGAAGTTCACATTTCTTAGCTTGTTATAAAAGGCTCTTTAAAACTTGGCCAAAGTATATATTTCATAATATACTGTAACTTCCTCAAATATGTAATACTCTTTCATGGTTCTGATGTAGTTTTCATGCACTTCTTTCTCCCTAAAATATCTGTCATTATTAACTTCAATGATAAAAGCATTCTCATCCTTCAAAGTCCAATATAAATAAAACCTCCTCTCTTTCACTCTCTTACCATATCCATTCACTTCATCCACTCAAGGAGAATGAATCCTTCTCAAATAACTTTATACACATATCTATTATACTATACATGATGTCATGCATTTATCTTTCTCAGTACATTGTAATCTACTTGAAAACAAAGATTGTGGATTAAACATTTTTGTGTTTAAAGCCAAGTTCAGTGTCTTTGTGACAAATGGTAATTAGTTTGTTGCATGCTATATGGCCTAAAGTATTTGACAATATGTACTATAACATGATGAGGTAACAGGGTATCTATGTATCTATGTATGTATGTATCTATGTATCTATCAGGTATCAATATATATATGATGTTATCAGATTTCATCTTGTACATAAAGTAAAATTAATGCTGAAATATTTCAAAGTATTGAAAATATCTTCCAACGTAGCTCAAAAGTTATGCTTGTTATTAATTTTATGTAAATTGTTTTCTCTCTCTTATACCATATCCTGTAGACAAAGTACCAACTCAGAAATTTAGTTATGTGGTTGCTGATGACATTGGAAGGAATAAGTTTCATTTGTAAATGCACATTTTAATCATGAACACATAGCATCTCCTGAAACATTTCTTTTAAAACTCAAACAAGCTGATATGTTTTCAATGAAATTTTAATCATTGATTTATTCAACCAATATTTGTCAAATACTTACTATATGGCAGATACTCAGGTTTTGTAATATAACATAAATAAAACTTCATTGGCCCCTGCCTTTTTATAAATCATATTCCAGAGGGTAGACTAACAATAAACTAACAACCATTATTCAGTAATAAATTATCAAAAAATTAGGAACAAGAAATCTAAGGTGTTATGAATATATATAACATCTCTGAAAGTCAATTTCCTCATTTTTAAATATTCATAGTACTTTTGACACAACAATACCAATTGCTATTTATAAAAATTTTTTGTATCTGTTTACTGTTCACAAATATTTTTACTTCATTAATGCTTTCATTCCTTCAACAAATATTTATCAAATGTCTACTCTGCACTAGATACTATCCTAAGTACCGTGAGTACAATTGTAAAACTTAGCTTCACTTCTTAATTAATTGTACAAGTGTGATGTGTACTATGAATAAGACAGACCTTTCCATCACAAAATATGCACTGTTTTAAAAGATGTTTAGTAAAATGGGCAATCACAAAATTGTGTGATTATTTAACTTTGGCTACTTGAATAATGAGAAGTTTAAAAATCCCAGTAAAGATACATTTTTTTCTTTCATTAATTATTATGTAGGCACTGCATGATTCCCTGGAAATCCTATATGCTCTAAAATCCCTTTCC